TCTCGAACCACATACATGTTGTTTCAAAAATCGATAAATGTTTCAATTAATTTGTCGCTAGTCAACAAATTTAAGTTGATTATAATAAATTAATGGCACTAATTCATTAGCTTTCATTGTTAAGGTGTTCAAAATGAGCTCATTTAATTTCCATTCACTAGGAGAATCTCGATTTAAATTCTGTGAAAACTGCCGGTTATCTGTTTATACTCCCAAATGATTCTTTACGTCAATTTTTCCAAAGATTCTAGTTCCGTTGTGTAAACCATTGTCTTATTGGCCATTGTACAGGACCTCTTCTCCCAGTCCACAGCTCTGGAAATTGATTATCTAAAAACTGCCGCACAAAAGCTGCATGATCCGGGGATGCTCCAGCTTGTTGAAGTATCACTTCGTTTTCTAACAAATTTGAATATTGTTGAAGGACTTCAGTAATACGGATAAATCTGGTTTCCAGCATACCTAGATAATTGTTGGCGCTGTTCCTCTTTAAACAGTGGCCCTATAATATGATCAAAATTCTGTCCCAAACACTGAGCATGAAATGAGTATCAGTGCCACTCCAATTCTGCAGTGACGACAACCAACTTCAATCAGATTGATGGAAAACTTTAATTCTGTGCGGATGAAATGAATGAAACACGTTTAGACGAGATACGATATTTGTGAAATCTTGGTAACAGACTGCGTGAGGACAATGCGACCCAAGCTGCAACGGCAAAAGCTTCAACTTTGACGACCCTAGTGGGATTGTGTTTTCTCATCTTAACAGAACCAGTTTCCATAAATTTGTTCATTAAGTCCATCAAGTATTTGTGCTTTTCATTTTCCCCCAGATTGTTATAAAAAATACGAGCAGTGTCTTTGGCAGAGTTCCCATGTTTATAGTAGGAAGATACAATTTCAATTCATTCTTAGAGGGTGAAGACCATCTTCGACCTTCAACTAAAGATTCAAAACGTAAACTTACAACTAAATTCTCAGCTATACACCAGAGGGAGAATCAATATTTAAGTTATAAATTTGACGTAACTATCATTGCGCAAAGTGCTCACATACCTAAGTAAAGTTGTGGAAATATCCTTGTTCAAAACGCTTAAACTCTGACGTTTTTTTAGTGACCAAAATATGTACTCTCTTGTATGTTACGGATAACTTGCTATGGTTACATATCAATGCAAATTCTATGTAGAAGCTCAAGATTAATTGAATAATTATAAGTTTTATTATTTAATTAGACATTAATTTTTAACAACTTTAAATCATCAACAATGTCATCATCTTCACTATCACAATTGTCCAGAATCTTTTTCGTTTGCCATGCCGATTCTATGATATTTTTTCCGTGTGCTTAATATAATTTTCCCATTTTTGCTGTTGTAAGATAAATACGCGTCGTTTATATCATACGTTGCCGTTGACGTTGACGTTGGGTTTTCAACCAATCAAATTGCGGTAGTGTGCAGTGCTGCCAACTTGAACGGAAATCCCCTGAAGTAGGGGGAACATTTTTCTAGTTCTAGAGATAATGAGGTCTACTAATATTAAGCCATTTAATCACCTCTTCACCGAAACCCCCATATTTTAAATAGCTGCCATCATTTTCCACTCTAGCTTTCTGTCAGTACTTACGCATTGCTAAAGAGAGTTCTCGACGTTTAAATCAACAAAATTTATTGCTATTCATCTCAAAAATTAGCTATTATAACTACCAGGGCTTATATTTTGCCCTTTTTTCTTAATATGTGTAGTGTAGTATTTTTTTCACAATAAGAAAGGTAACACATGTTTAAAATAGTAAATTTTTGTAAGAAAATATCGATTTTGCAATTCGGCTCCGCCCCTCTATCTGACAACAAATGAAATCGAGACGGATGGGTGGGGCTTATCTTTTGGTTTTCTTTTTTAATTAATACATTTAAGATTTCTTTGTATAACACGATTACTTAAGAACATATTTCACTTGGTAATTTCTCGTAGAAAAATAAGCATTTTACAATTAAGCACCGCCCCTCGGCTTACGACGAATAAAAAATCATCAGAATTGAGATAGGGCGGGTGGGGCGTGCTTATATTTTGCCTTTTTTTCTTAATATACATAGCCATCTTTTCACAACAAGAAACTTAAAACATGGTTAAAATGGTACATTTTTGCAAGGAAATATGGATTTTGCAATTATGGGGCGGAGCCTAATTGCAAAATCGATATTTTCTTAAACAAATTTTCCATTTTAAACATGTTTTAAGTTTCATGTGGTGAAAAGAAGTCTACACATATTAAAACAAACAGGCAAAATGTAAGCCAGCCCGCCCACCCGCTCTATCTCAATTGTGATGATTTTATATTCGCCGTGAACCAAGGGACCATAACTGTAAAATACTTATTTCTTTGGAAGAAATTAAAAATGTTTTTGAATATCGTGTTGTTCAAAGAATACTATGTATACTAAGAAAAAAAAAGCCAAAATATAAACCCCACCCACCGACTCCATTTCGGTTGTGATGATTTGTTTTAATCTTGGAAACTTTAAACACGTTTAAAATGGTAAACTTTTATAAGCAAATATGGATTTTGCAATAGGCTCCGCCCCTAGGTCTACCAACGAATGAAAACTTTATTAGTATTTAAATCAGGGCAGGTATGGATGGGGCGTAATATTTGGTTTTAATTTGTTCTTAATATACATGGCATTCTTTAAATAACACAATACTCAAAAACATGTCTTACATGGTAATTTCTTGTAGAGAAATAGGGCGGGTGGGCGGGGCTTATATTTAGCCTTTTTTTTTAATAAAATATACGTAGTTGTCTTTTCAGAACAAGAAACTTAAAACTTAAAACATGGTTAGAATGGTAAATTTTTGTTGACAAATATGAATCTTGCAATTAAGCCCCGTCTCTTGATCTGACAACGAATGAAAAATTCATCATAATTGAGAATTGAGATCGGGACGGGTTTGGGTGGAGTCTTATCTTTGGCTTTCTTTTTTTTTCTTACTATAATACATACTATTCTTTGAACAACACGAGACTCAAAAACATGTTTTTAATTTCTCGTAGCGAAATAAGGATCTTGCAGTTACGCTCTGCTCCCGCGGTTCACGACGAATAAAAAAAAAATCATCACAATTGAGATAGGGCGGGTGGGCGGGGCTACATTTTGGCTTTTTTTCTTAGGATGTGTAGACTTATTTCGATAACAAGAAACTTAAAACATGTCTAAAATAGTAAATTTTTGTAGTGATCAACTTAAATCCTCAACTTTTTTACTACAACCGCTTTAAATACGGCAAAAGTTGAACATGAAAGTTATTATCAACGGCAACTTGGCAACGGAATTTATAAATGACAGTTATTTTGTTTGTATAATTTTATTTTTGGAATGGAATGGATGGTCTCTCCATTGGTGACAATCAATTATTATTTTTGTAAAATTTAAAACCAACTCTTCTAATCGATGTGTCCTGGATCAAACTTTAAAGACTTGATAAATAGTTACGTTATATAAATAGTTATAGTTTATACATATTTTCCTTGACTGACATTAAGTCTACAGGATTTACTTGAGTTTTTATATTATTTGTAATAGTAGCGGACATATTCTCTTTGAATCTGTATTTTTTTTGTAAATTGTATAAAGATTTTTCAGAAATTTTTAACATTTCGGCCTCCAGTTCCGATTTTCTTTTTTTTTTTAATTGCACAACATCGTGGTTTCTTTCTAGAGAATCCAGCACATTTAATATAACTTTTGTTTGGTCACTAAATCGTTTCATTGTTCAGAATTAAGTAGAGTAGTAAAACGTTAAATAAAGCAAATATTCTGTTTGACAAATAATTCTGATGACAAATTTCAAAATTTGACATAAAATTTCTAGGACATACTCAATTTTTTTGGTAATTTTTTGTCTCACAAAAGTCCATAAGACAAAGGGAAAAAGTTTTACTTGGAGTATTTCAATCACTATAAATCATATTTTTACCTACGTAATTGCAAGAATTTCTACTTAAATGGTAAAAAAATACATAGTAATTAACATGTCAGTAAAATTGTCTCGTGGATGAATACAAAATGAAAATCAGGTTGTTTTTACAGTTTTGTAAATTAGATAATTTTTTTCCTCTGCACGTGGTGCACAGTATCTTAAGCTTTTTATAGATTTCATATCAGCACAACACAAAACAAAACAATACAACTTTTTTGACTTGATACTTTTTTCGACTTGGAGAATCGCAATAGTGAAACAAATTGTGTATTGGCCATTCTCTATTTTCTACGTAATAAACACTTAACTCAGAGAAGTGGAGAAAATTTGTTCTGTCAGCACTTTATGAATAGGAGCACTATAACAAAGCTATATACTTTTTTATCTTTGTATAAAAATGAAAACTAAATAAAAAGCTGCTTCAGCATGTAAAGTGCATATGCTGCCAGCAAGCATACAGATAATGAAGTTACAAGAGCCTTATTTAGTTTTAAATATAGATTACAATATGCAAAAGTCAATTACACAGTCAATTTGAAAATGTTGGCAGCGTTATAAATTTATTTTTGCAAAAAATAATTCCACTAGTCGGTTGCCAAATAATATGTTAAATTTATATGTTCACACTAATAATATAAGTTTTTAAAAAAAGAACGTTCATAGCAAACTTTTGAGTCAGTGTTTTGTACTATTTCTTCCGTTCTAGACGCTTAAAGTGTGTATGCAAAATTTGTATTACGGTGCTGTGTAGAAGTAATTTTTCACCTCATAGAAGATACTACTATTAATTAGTTGTTCCTAGTTTAAACAGAATTATTGTTTTAGTGTCATTCTTAACAGTGCGTACAGCCCCCTTTAAAGGTCCGAAGTTGTCTGCAACCAAGCATTTAATCGTTTCTAAATTCATACAAACATAACACAACTGGAAGCGGTCTCTTCCACACCATATTCTTCTTCCTGCGCTTGGCGTTTGATTAATTAAGCCTCTAACAATTAACCTTCTCTAACTTCAGAGCTTGCCGCAAACGCCTCAAACTAAAAGTTTCTCTGCCGTCTACAACGGTGAAGCAATTCAGGACACCGCCGGAGACACCGCCTTGCAGCAAGATAACGTAAGATATCATAACAACCTATTTTGCGATAACATGATTAGTTATCTTATTTAAAGTATCAATTAATAGAATGTTTTAACGAAAACGCGAATGTTTTCCCAGGCCTTGGTTTACCGCGATGGAAACTTGCTGTCTGGTTCCCTTGAAGCTTTAATTCAGCACATGGTTCCGACTGACATATACTACCCAGATAGGGCATACCTATTTGCATTTCTATTGTCTTCACGCCTATTCATTAAGCCTCACGATTTGCTTGCCAGAGTACGGAGTCTATGTGAAACACAACAGGGTTTGGGAAGTGCCACTGGTGGATGTTCACATCCTGGACAGGCCAGATTTGCGGAGCATTTAGTACAATTACTCGCAGAATGGACTGAAACATTCCCATACGACTTTCGGTAAATATAGAAACTTTATTGCACCCTCACTGGTTTTAAAAACACCTTTGTGTTCCTAAAATTGGTGTCTTCTAGTCTATGATTTTTTTATTTCTGACATTTCTTCATCTTCCTCTCCCTTAGTTTTCTTCTCTTTTGTACCTGTACCTGTATTGATCTCTTAATCTGTTTATTCAGACTTATTGTCACACTTTTAATCTTTTAAGTGCTATTTTCTTCATCATAATATTTTCTGATACGTTATCGATATCCGTGATAAAATCTGTGAATGGACTCGACGGAGAATCTCAACTTTCCGTTCCAAAACATTCGCTTGTTTCACTTTTTGTATTATTTCTCTGTTCAGTTTTTTCCATTTAATGTTCCAACATTTTAATTTCAATTGCGGCTATTAAAAGCTAAAATCGAAATTTGTCTTTTGTATTTTAGGGATGAAAGGGTAATGCAACACGTCCGGACAATAACGCAGCAGTGCTGCACCATTAATCCCACTTTTCGCACCAATGTTTCGTCGCTCTTACATAATCTTCTTCAGAGATTGACTGCGTTAGAACAATACGAAAAGACTTTGGATCCGTCGTCACAACCCCAAGATGAGAACTGCACGGATATCTCTGAAATTTGTCCAGTGCCAGCGTTCCTAGCGCAACAACTTACTCATGTAGAATTAGAAAGGCTCTCTTTTATTGGTCCAGAAGAGTTCGTACAAGCTTTTGCTAAGGAGAATCCACACTTAGAAACCTCGTTCAAAGACATGAAGAAAACACACAATTTGGAACAGTATGTTCAATGGTTTAATAGACTGAGTTACTTTGTAGCGACACAAGTGTGTAAAGTGAGTTATTTCTTTACGGGGTGAGATGTGGTGTTAAATTTTGCGTTTTACAGTACCAGAAGAAAAAGCAAAGAGTTCGAGTGGTGGAGTACTGGATAGAGACAGGGAGGGAATGTTTTAATATCGGCAATTTTAATAGCTTAATGGCGATTATAGCGGGTCTAAATATGTCTCCCATTTCAAGGTTGAAGAAAACGGTATGTATTTAGTTTTTTTTATATTTATAAACTTAATTTATAAATACTATTTTGGAACAGAAAAAAGTACGATTGTTCTATGTTCTTAGATTTTGTCTCTGTTAAAAAGATGCCAACTTAGTTGGCGAGACGCGTCAACATTTGTGCTAGGAGTGTACCTATAAATCAAATACAAGCACCCACACTTTTTGCTGTGCAAATACTAGTATACAAAATGGCAAATAAATGATTTCATAACTTCAACAAAATAATCGAAATCGTTAACTTTTATTGATATTGTAACATTTTAAATAAAACTGTTATTAAGATATATTTTTTAATTAAGATAATATTTTTGTACATAAGTGATAAGCTTTGAAAGTTCAATGCCACCGATAAAAGCGGTAAATGCAAAATGACGAACTTGATTTTTATCGTCATTTAAACCCGGTCAAATGACTATAAATATGTAAATTGAATTTTTTGGCTTTCATATCATAAATATATTTTTAATGACTATTAATAAACCATTTAATATGACTAATGAACGTGTAAAAAATCGAAAACATGATTTTTATTTGGCCACGTGTCGTTTTATTATGAAAAACATTTTTTATATACAAAACAGTATTAGCACAATTGTTATATCTATAATACCTACGCGTTTTGACAATATAGTTGGCATCTTTAGTTAAAAAAAGTCCAGAAATACTCATTTACTAGTTACCAAATTTGTATCAATGTATAGTGTCATAGTTCAATAACAAAAGTAATTATATTGAGTTTAGACATACAGAGTGCTTCAAAGCACACAAATTCAAATCACGCTTTTACTTTTTCCAGTGGAATAAGATTCATTCTGGAAAGTTTGCCATACTAGAACACCAAATGGACCCCAGCAGTAACTTCAGCAGTTACAGAAGTACTCTGAAAGCCGCAATGTGGCGCAGCCACGGCGCCAAAGACCAGCGGCAAAGAATTGTGATTCCTTTCTTCAGTTTGCTTGTCAAAGATCTCTATTTCTTAAATCAAGGTTGTTCCAACAAGTAAGTTCGCAACTTGGGTCTGACATAGGGTACTGATTGTGGTTTTCAGGCTTCCAAATGGGCATATAAACTTCGAAAAATTCTGGCAGTTGGCAAAACAAGTTACAGAGTTCATGGCTTGGAAACAGGTCACGTGTCCATTTGAAAAGGATCCCAAAGTTATTTCAATTTTGCAACATGGACCAATTTTAAACGAAAATGCCCTTGCTCTTGCCAGTTTCGAGTGCGAGCCGCCTGAAAACAATCAGGAGAAAGAAAGATGCAAGACTTTGAAGGCAGACAGTAACGCGATGTAACGAGAGATCTTTAAGCAGTTATTATTTATGATGATGTACAAATTGTTTTTTTAACTGTTTTTTTTTATCTGGTGTGTACATATAGATGAATGTCTTGAATTTTATTTTTGTTTTGTACAGAGTTTTATAGTTTTCTTTTTAAAACTGGAATATTATTTAATAGGCGACTATTTTCCTAATATACAAGTATTTAATGTGATTTTATAGCTTTTTAATGACTAATTTAGTTCAAAACGTGCACTGTTTTGATAGTACCTACAACACTGATTCCAGTATGAGATACTGAAATTAATAGTACCTAATTGCCATTATTATATTAAGTACTTCTGCTTTAGCTTTGTATTCTTTGAGCAAAAGTTTTGATGTATTTTCATATTGAACTCACAAATACTAAAAGAATACTCTACACTGAACATTTTGAAGAATTTGTACCTATTTATAATGTTTTATACCTCAGTGTTTTTTACATAATATTTGTAATGATGTACTTAATATATTTGACCAATGTATTAACAGTATTTAATCGAAATTTTTAAGTATTTGTCACGTCAGGTTATCTTACTAAATCACATTTGTTATATAAGCCACTATTGCACTTCTCTTTGTAAATGTGATGTGATTATCATGAATGGGTAAATATTTATTGTACATGTAACAGATGTGATTTTTCCACTATTGGATTGCATTGTAGACTTTGAAACTGCTACATATGCGCTTTGCCTCACGCTACAGATAGGATGTAAAACAATTCAAAAGACTTAAATCTATCAGTATTCTAGTCATTAGGTAAGAGGATGATGCATTGCTAATTACACACTATATGTTGTATTGTAGTTATTTATATAATGTATAAATCATTTGTATTGTATGCATTTGTTTTATGTATAAACTCCGTATCAAAAATTATCCAAAGTCTTTTTCTTTTCCTTAAACATGTGTTAGATTCGTTCAAAAAACGAGAACGAAACTGTATGGTTATGGTTTTTATTACAACGTAAAAGGAAAATAACTTTAGGTTCAGTGCCAAATCCATCCCATAAAAATGATAAAAAAATGAAAACTACTTTTTAGCAACTCGTTTAAACTTGCTGCTGTAAAATTATGCGATATTATAATTTTTTTGTGAATAAACACCTTTTTTGGACAACTAGAGATCTAAAGCTATTAAAAACAACTAGTACCCAAATACACATTGTTCCAAAATTCTTATTAAATAAACTTTCAAAATTTTTTACAAATTGTAAATGAATACGAAATTTTGTACATAAAATGTGATCTATATTTATGATAACCATAATTATGGTACAAAAAGATTGAATGTGTTCATAGACACACATTATAAAATATTGTTACGTTGAACGGGTGATTAAAATCGGCGTGGGTTCTCCACAATTATTTCTCAATAACTCAAATTTACATGACTGATTTCGATTCGTTAACTGAATAATCCTCGTTCCCGACTGTGGCCTGTATTTAAACCGATATGTTGCTTTCCATGGATCGAGAACGCCGCTTCGAGATTTTTCCGGGTTGCCCATCGCGACTTACGCTTCCAGATGATGAGTCATCATTAGTGTACATACGAGAAAGTTCTCGACAAGCCATAGGCGTTGTACCGGAGCGGCGTATGGGTTAATTTCATAGCATTGCCCCTGCTTAATTCATTTTCGTCTTCGGCCCTCGACGAATTCTGTAAATAAGATTGATTCTCGTTGCAACCGTATATGGGCCGTCCCAGTCTGGTGACAAATTCGGGCAACGACCTTTCCTTCTTCGGGGGTTATAAAGCTGTACCAAATCTCCTGCCTGGAATGCTACTGAGTTATCCTTAAGGTCGTAACGTGTTTTCATTCTGTCACTCGCCACCCGCATCTTGTGGCGCACCGTTTCGTGAACGCTCAGCAGCTTCTCCTTCAAGTCACAGATGTAATCTATGACCTCCTTTGGTTCTCCACTCGGAGAGCCGAACAAGATGTCACAAGGCAGACGAAGTTCTCTTCCGAAAACTATCCGCGCCGGGGTTTGACCCGTCGTGCCATGGACAGCTGAACAATAAACCAACAGGAGTAGTGGAAGGTATCGATCCCAATCTTTCTGATGCTCGGGCACCACCTTTGAAAGATGTTCTTCCATGGTACGATTGAAGCGCTGTACCATTCCATCTGACTGTGGGTGGAACGGCGTAGTCCGTGTCTTCTGTATCTCTAGGACTTCAGTCACCCTTTGGAATAGGTTTGACTAGAAGTTTCTGCCTTGGTCCGAATGGACTACCACTGGGACCCCAAACCTTCTGATCCAATTGTCAATCAGCATTATTGCAACCGTTGTCGCGTCTTGGTTCGGTAATCGCGGACGACCATTATGTACTTATTGCCGTCCTCCGGAAAAGGGCCTACTATGTCCACTGAAACTCTTTCGAAAGGCGAACCGATCTTGTATTGTTGCATCGGCCCTCTCGCTCTAATCCTCGGTTCTCGACATCTTCTCGACAACGGACCCAATAGAATTTCTCCCTGACTTTAGAAAGCGTCTTGTTGATTCCGAAATGAGCACCAGACCCACCGGTGTGCATTTCTCGAAGTACTTTCTTGGTGCTAATGGTCGGAACCACCAACTGCATGCTGAAATGTTTCCCATCTGGACTCTCACAAGCTCTGGACCCGCAGGGAGTCCCACTGACCCCATAACGCCTTGAAAGTGGATGACTCGTCCGATATTTTCAACCAACCTGGCCGTTCCACCCCATCTTCTTTCCATTTGAGCAACGGTCCGATGTCCACGTCCTCCCTCCTCTTGGTCTTTTTTAAGCTGGGCCGTAGTCCATTCTTCATATTCCACAATTGTGTTCTCACACAGTTGAACGACGTTCAGGCTGTTCGATCTTGTCGCAATGTTTGCAATTCTTACACGGTCTTCTCGTCAAGGAGTCCGCATTATTGTGGAGCTTACCAGCTCTGTATCGAATTTTGAAATGATACTGTTGGAATCGTTCAAGTCATCTAGCCACTTGTCCTTCGGTATTTTTCATCTGAAGAAGCCGTGTGAAGGCTGCATGATCGGTTCTAATCAGGAATTCGCGTCCATAGAGATACTTGTGGAAGTGTTCAACAGCCCTGACAATTGGCAGCAACTCCTTCCTCCTAGTACAGTAGTTCTTCTCGGGTTTCGAAAGTACGCTGCTGAAGTACTCGATGACTTTTTCTTCCTTGTCCTGCACCTGTGACAATACAGCACCTATTCCGATGTTGCTCGCGTCCGTGTCCAAAATGAACATTCCCGATGATTGAGGATAGAACAAAATAGGACTAGAGCATAGTGCATTCTTCAATCTTTTGGAGGCTGCCTCACATTCAGCAGTCCAATTAAAGTGAGACTCCAAATCCGTCAGCCTGTGCAGAGGAGCAACAATATCAGCAAACCCGTTGTAGTAGCTGCACATTCCCAAGAAACTCCGGACTTCGTGCTTATCTCTTGGTCGTGACCAATTGCGAATTGCACTGATCTTCGTTCCAGTAGTCTTGATCCCGTTTGCCGTAACAATATGCTCCAGAAATTCTACTTCTTTTTGGAAGAGGAGGCATTTCTTCGGATTCAGCTTCAAGTCTGCCTCTTTCATTCGACTAAATACTTTTTCCAAATTGGTCAACTGCTCCTCAAATGTCTTTCCTATTACCATGATGTCGTCTAAATAAACCAAACATGTTTTCCATGTAAGCCCTCGTAATACCATCTCCATCAATCTCTCAAAAGTAGCTGGAGTATTACACAGTCCAAAAGGCATTAGGGCAAATTGATACAAGCCCCTCCCGGCAGAAAAAGCAGTCTTTTCCTTATCTTGTGGATGAATACCAACTTGCCAATAGCCGCTTTTGAGGTCCAACTTGGAGAACCTGGCGGATCCTGATAATGTTGTGAGAGTGTCATCAATTCGTGGAAGTGGATAACTGTCCTTCTTGGTTACATCGTTTAGTTTCCCGTAGTCTACGCAGAATCGCGTCAACCAGTCCTTTTCGGTGATTAGCACTACAGGCAAAGACCATGGACTGTTTGACTCCTTTATAACCCTTTCATCCAACATTTTTCGTACCAGTTCCTCGGCTTCCTCTTGTTTCGCCAAATGTAGTCTTCGCGGGGCTTGACGGATCGGTTGTGCGTCTCCAGTGTTTACCCGATATCGCACTATGATTCTTCAGATGCAAACACTCCACTGTGTTTCTGCAGAAACTCTTTTGCAACTTTCTGCTGATGTTCAATTAGATGGTTAACCTCTAGGGCAGGAATTTCTAAGTTGCTTTTTGTTTTTTCATCATTGTTATCAGAAAGATCTTCGTGACTGGTTCATGGACGACAAGAAGATCCCCACTCTGACTTTGTGGTAGGTTCTTGAAGAATTGTACGCCGTGCCGCCTCCACTTCCAGCGCACGAATCAAGGCTGAATGATGTCTGGTACCTTGATAGTTGCATAACTTTCTTAACGTCGCGAATCCCATTTACGAAGGTTTCTGTCGCAAGCCTCGCTTGAAAAGTTGGTGGTGCATCGGAGTATGCAAGACGTACCAGTCTCTTGACATCTGCTTCAAATTCTTGAACGGATTCTACTACGTTCTTGTCTTCACTTGGGCTTCAAAAACCTGTCTCAGATGTTCATTCCCAAATCGAAGTTCCAGAGCAGCAGTTAGGGCACTATATCTGTTTCATCTTCTTCAGACAGCGTTTGGAGTATCTCTAGAACTGCGCTTCGCAAAGCTATCACCAAAGCTGTAGCATTTTGTCCTTCTTCCCAGAGATTTGCTGTCGCTGCTGCTTCAAACTGCTTCTTGTATGATGACCAAGGCGTCTGACCATCACGGGTGGGTGGTTGAATTGTCCTGGGGCCTGACGTCACATAACATGAACCAATGGTTGCTGCATTTGTCATTAACTTTTCAAATTTCTTCATTTTATTCTCCATTCTATCTTCTATAGTTTTCACTGTATCTTCCATACATTCCTGTACCGATTTCTCGAACTTATTCTTTAGTTGATGTTCGACTTCCTATTTTAGTTTTCGATCCATCAAGACCACATTTTCTCTGACAAGATTTTGCATAACCTTCAAATTTGTTTCTATATCCATCATTTGTTTCTTAATTCCTGTTATTTCACTTTTGTTTGCTTCCATGCACTTCCTTTTGGACTGGTGATTATGTCAACTTTTTATTTGTCTACTTTTGCGTCCATCATTTCCATTTTTTCGTTCATTTTCTCATCATGCGTTCACTGCGTTCATGTTTTCGGTCATTTTTTCAATTTTCGCATCCAGTTTCTCATCTCTTGCATCCATTTTTTTGTTCATTTCTTCTGTTGTTGCATTCAGTTTCTCATTTCTTGCGTCCATCTTCTCATCTATTGTTTTGTTTCTTGCGTCCAGTTTTTCGTCCGTTTTCTCCATCTTGCGCCCATTTCTTCTTTCATTTCTTTATTTCTTGCGTCCATTTTTTCGTCCATTTCTTTGTTTCTTGCTTCCATTTGCTCGTCCATTTTTTCCATTCTTGCGCCCATTTGTGCGACCACCAACTGCTTTACTTGTTCCTCCATTTTCGCAGCTTGAGCTCTAGTCTCAACAGGCATCGATCTTCAGAATTCTTGTCCAATCTGCCATTTATTAATTTCAAATCCCACTCCTAACACACCAGTGTTACGATGAACGGGTGATTAGAATCGGCGTGGGTTAAACTCAACAATTTATTTCTCAATAACTCAAATTTACACTACTGATTACACAGCGATTATGTACAAAATAAATCCAGCGCAACTTGACTGTACTCTCTTTCTCTTGGACTGAACTGGCTGAATAAGCCTCGTTCCCGCAGGTGGCCTCCATTTAAACGCTATTCTCCTTCTACAGGTTTCGTGATCGAAATTTTTTTGGGATCCATCGCAACTCCCGCTTCCAGTCCTTTCTTTAGCGACCGTCGCTCGGCCATCCTGACTCCGCACGGTGAGCATCATCGCCGTACATACTAGAACCCATAGGCGTCGTACCGGGGCGGCGTATGGGTTTCTTTCGTAACAATACATTGGTGAGAACATCATACCAATACTGATAGCTAAGCTTGAAGCAACATTACAAATATAGAAAAAAAAAGACAAATTAAGAACTATATAATATAGTGGACAGAAAAATTATGTTATTATGATTACCAAAGATCGGACGCGGAAGGGTAACATTCAAGCGGTCCACAGGCCCATGCCCTACCTGTTGAAAGAACTAGACCTTAATAATGCTATGTAAGTTAAGATTAAGAATTATAATTTTTCTAGGCTATTCTCTGTAAAATCGAGTTTGTGCCTAATGTGTAGTATTGACGCCGCTGGATATGCGTGAATTTGAAGGAAAACTCACCCTTAACGTACAGCCACCTGAAGGTCAATTGCTCTGACAGGAGGTTCAGGTATGCGACTATACTAGTTATTTGCCTCTTTATGCGCTCCTACAGCTCTAATTGATCTATATTTCATGGCTAAGCATTGTAATTATCATTTATTTCAATATCCTATTTTATCATTTCATAAAAATAGGATATTATACATACCGAGCTGGAAAATGTTCGTTATTCCCTTTGGGAAAAAGATACATAGTTTACCGAGAGGCGCAGCCCCGAGGTGAACTATATTTATTGTACTACTTCCCTGAGGTGTGTATAACATTTTTGTGTAACATTTAAGAAACATAATAATGTTTACAGTGAAAGGCACAAATATTGGTGTCTACGTATGACCCGGAGTCCCTGATTTTTTTTTTATTGTTTGCATCTGAAATGACACAAACAAACGAGTTTTATGAATAAACAAATTCAGTCACTTATTAACATTTCATTATATGTATTTTTAGAGTGAAATAAAGTTCAAATGTAATTTTTTTAATAGCTCCTTCAAGGTTGTCTCTATGTATCTTGCTCTATGGGAACACTGTATCCACCTCGATTCTGAGAAGAAATTGTTTTTATATAATATGCTGCAATTATATACAATTATTTAGTATCCTGTCTGTGTGAGTTTACAGGGAAGAATTAATTGCAGAGATGATAACAAGAAATTTAAATTATGCAATCAAATATGTCGCCATCTATACTGTCACATTAAACTACGCTTTGTCGATCAAATCAGCACCTGCCATCGCTGTCATCGTAATTTTTTCTAAGAAGAAAATGTGTGGGGTTCTTAGTTATCGCATTCAGTGAACAGTTATAGCCCCGTTAACCCCCGTCGGTACATGTGTATTATTTAGACTGTGAAATAAGACAACCAAAATCACTTGGTTTTTAATAAATTTATGTTAGGAAAAAATGGGGAACGTGCACGCGTATTCAGCTCCGGCCCCGCCACCACCGCCTCCATCGAGTTCATCTTATGCCAAACCTGAAGGTTCTTCCACTGGAACAACTGAAGAAGTCGAAAACCCGGGTCCTTTGGAAGAAATTCATACAAAATGCAAAAGTGAGTACTCACCGCGTACATAACCTTTAATCGAACTGGTGTGCTTTAGATATTTTCCCTACAAATTTCGAAGGAGCGAGAGTGATGCTTACGAGAGGTCTTAGTAACCATTTTCAAATTTCTCATACGATTAATATGAGTTCCATAACTCCTAGTGGGTATCGGTTTGGGGCGACTTATGTAGGAACCAAACAAATTTCAGCGAGTGAAGCTTATCCTATCTTGTTAGGTGACATAGACCCGTCAGGCAATCTAAACGCTACGATTATTCACCAGATATGTTCAGGATTTCAAGCAAAATTTGGAGCACAAGTACTGCCTCCTGTTTGATATTTCCAATTAACTAAACCAATAATTTCAGGTTCAGAATTCAAAATTCACAGTTGGCCAATTAACAATGAATTACAAAGGATCTGACTATACTGCAAGTGTCACTGTTGCTAACCCTGATATCATATCAGGGTCGGGAGTTGTAGTATTGCATTATCTTCAAGCTGTGACATCTCGATTAGCGTTGGGGTCTGAGTTAGCTTATCAGAAAGGTCCAGGAATACCTGGGGGCGAAATTGCTCTCTTGAGTGCAGCAGCTAAGTAAATGTAAAATTTTCATAAATTGAGAGGCGTTCTAATAATTCATTTCAGGTACACAACGGAAAATACACAAATTTCAGGAACAATAGGAGTATCAGGTGTCCACTTGTGTTATTACCAAAAAGCGAGCAGTCAGCTTCAAATAGGAGTGGAGTTAGAAGCGAATCCTCGGATGCAGGAGTCCGTGGCATCAATTGGCTACCAAGTTGATTTGCCAAAGAGTGAAGTGGTATTTAAAGGGCATGTAGATTCAAATTGGTCAGTTGGGGCGGTTTTAGAGAAAAAATTAAGCCCCTTGCCTTTCACGTTAGCTCTTAGTGGGCTCATAAATCACAATAAAAATCAGTTTAGGCTTGGTGTGGGGATTCTTATTGGATAACTGAATAGTTTGAAGCAAGAACGTTTTAAATTAACTGCTCGTTAAAATTGTCCCTAGAAAAACTGATTTTAGATTTTTTATTTGTAACGTTTATCAATAAAATGGAAGTCAGTTTTGTATATATTATACATAATTGTTTTTATATTCCTCAGAATTAAAGTTGTTCGAAGACTTGAGTTTTACGTAGATTTAGATAACAACTTAACTTGTTAATGCATTTGCTCCTAGTTATAACAGGTCGTGTATAAAGCACAAGTGATTTTATTTGTGTGTAAATGCGTATTTCAAACATGTTCCCTATTGTTTGGATACCTGTTATAAACTATCTTTTGTTATTTTTTTACACTTTAAAAATCTAGGTGATGTAAATTAGAGAACAAATTAAAAACTTTGTTGAAGATATATTTTTCTTTTCAGACAACGTAGTAAAAAGAATCGATTCTAAATAAACACGATAAATTAGGAAAATTTTTCATAAATCTATTTTCTAGGCCGTCCCGCCGCCTTCTTCCCGCCCAATACTTGTTTATCTTTTGTTCTGCTGCTGAGTAATGGGTGTACTTCTAGGACATCAGAATTACTATAATTATTATCAAATATTATGCAACATACCTGCGTCACTCGTGTTTTCAAGAGCCACATCATACGATTTGTACTTTTTCTTTTTAGCAGGAGGAGGCCCAGTTCCTTGTCCAGATGTAGGCAGATTAGTGTCAGCTGGCGTCCAGGCATCTTCAGGATCCTCTATCTATAATTCCAAAATAACAAAAATCCCTTAGAAAAGAATACCAGAAACTTACTTCTGGGGCTATTGGTAAAAATTGTAAACAACCAGTATTTTCATTTTCTTCATCTGAACTGCAGAAAGCAGCTACTGGTTCAATTGAACATACATCTACTTCCATATCTGTGTCTTCTTTATCATCTGCACCACTGGCAACTGATTTGTCTTCATCTGTTAAATCAAATTCACTTTCCCTTTCGTCATATTCCACGTTTTCATCCAATTCTTTAAAATCTGGAGCAAATGCAGACCAATTTTCAACTTGGTTTTGGGCCCATACACTCACAACACCTGATAATAAACAAACATGAAGATATATTTTTTGGCAACAGATTAATTCACCTGATGAAATACTGGCAATGATGGGACGAACTGGATGCCACGCTACATCTAAAAGCAACTCGCCTTTTGTCCCATGAAGAATTTTCACCAAATTTCCAATGGATTTTTCCCATATGTACAACGCGTGCTGTCTTGCTGAGCCAGCACATATATATTCACCATCCCCAGAGAAACAACACTTTTTCCACATTGTTCTAAACATTTAAAATATTAATAGTTAAAAACCAAAACAATAACTAAGCCAGTACTACTTGTTGACTAAATCCTGTAGCTTTTGTATAGGTTCTGGTTCACCATCTTTACCACAGGCTAAAACTTCCTTACTGTCGTAAACTCTGATCACTCTGTCAGCTGTATTTATTAAAAACCAACTAAAAAGGAAGGTTTGAAGAAATCATTAAAACATTTTAAGACAATTACATACTCTCCTCTCCTAGCGAATTCTATGCTTTTTACAGCAGTTGCACTTGAAGTGCCCAAAATAATTCTAAAACTAGCTTTAATTTCTAATGTATGTGAATCTAATACCAGTACTTTTCCTTTTGCATTTCCTGTGTAAACATAGTCTCCACGTCGATCAAATGAAGCAGAAATATTCAGATCACCCTACAAATAATAGCTTCAAAAAAGTTACAACAAATTTTAATAAATGTACATCTTCATCTATTGGTAGAACTTTGTGGCCACCAGTTGTATCAACCAATACTGCTGCATGTCTCATTGGACACACTAGCAAGCGTTCCATGCTTCTAGGTTCAAATTGTACTTTTAAAACGGGACATGGGAACCTATATTTTTGTTCACACTCTCCTGATAATATATCCCAAATACAGACTGTATTATCAGTTGACGCTGACGCTATTTTATAACCAGATCTTGACCAACTAATACTGCAAACAGGGTGTACATGAGCTGATATCACTTTAGCGATACCTCTTGTAAGGAAATCCCAAATTACAATGCGGCCATCATTACAACCTACTGCCAATAGTGTTCCCCGTTTGTTGAAAGCACATGTTACAGCAATTGATAGCGAATCCAAAGTACCATCAAATTCTTCTGGGTAGTTTTGTCCAAAAGACTCTAAATATGTGTGGTTAGGATAATTTTAACATGATAAAAAGGACACTTACCTAGTAATTCTAAATTCATTTTTGTTTATTGACAACAAGTGTAATTTACACGGCCCTTTTACTAAATTAATTATAGTAAAGAAATAGTTTTTGGTAAATCATGAAGAAATATATTGTTTGTTGTGCGTTGATGCCGACATCAACTGTCATCTGTCAAAAATAATTGTCAAATCAGACGTCAAAAGCAGTCAAAAGTACAAAAGCATGGACAAAAGTCATTTAACCTCAAAAAGAATAAACATGTCGGAAGAAAAGCACGTGGATCTCGAAGAAAGTAAAGCTGAAATAAAAGAAGAGATAAAACCATCTAAAAGTGGGTCGGTTTTATTTCCAAATGAAAATAAGTACTCTCACATAAAAAATAAATTGGTTAGAAGTCAACAATATCAAAAGGCGAAGAAAGAACAAAAAAAGGTAGGTTATGTCAGGTGTCAATATTTAACAACTTAAAAATGAAACCATTTTAGGCAAAGAAATTGGCCAAGAAGCAAACTAAGTTGGAAGGTGGACCCAAGAAAGTGCCACATACTCTCGAGAGTTTACGGATAAAAGATGAAACAACCGTCAATGACATTAATACCGAAGAAAATGAACTGGTTAAAAACGACTTAGATAATGACGAATTTAGTGAATATTATCAACAGTCGTACGAACCGAAAATTCTTATAACTTACGCTGACAATCCTATGAGGGTACGTATAATTTTTTTAATACAATAGTTAAGTGTAATTTGCGCGATTTTTAGAAAACGAGGATATTTGGAAGAGAACTCACCAGGATTATCCCGAACTCGGTTTCTCTATACCGGAATAGATCAGGTGTTAAAAAAATTGTGAAAAGCGCGATAAAGAAAGATTTTACTGATATTTTAATTATTAACGAAAATAGAAAAGAACCTGATGGATTACTAGTGATTCACCTACCTGATGGTCCAACAGCTCATTTTAAAATCAGTAACGTTAAAATTACAACAGAGTTGCGTAAGAACCATAAGGATATTAATGAACACCGGCCTGAAGTAGTTTTAAATAATTTCTCGACAAGGTTGGGTTTAACAGTTGGTCGGATGTTAGGAGCGCTTTTCCATTATAGTCCAGAATTTGTAGGAAGAAGAACTGTAACTTTCCATAATCAGAGGGACTACATTTTTTTCAGACATTATAGGTACACTCTCGACGTTGTTAAAGCATTATTATTAATTTTTAGTTTGTAGGTATTGCTTTGATGAAGAGGGTAAAAAAGCCAAACTGAAAGAGTTAGGGCCAAGGTTTACATTGAAATTACGATCTCTTCAGAAGGGTACATTTGATAGTAAATATGGTCAATATGAATGGATCATAGATGGTAGAAGACATGCAGTGGAAACAAGCAGGAGAAAGTTCAATTTGTAATTTTTCAAGAAATAAATATTTGTATTAATTTGTGTCTATTTTACCATTTTATTTTTATGAAACCACATGGTGTTCAATCATCTTGTGTTTTTTTTTTATTACCTACGGGAGATATTGGTTAGCGATTTCGTTTCTTTAAAATCATGTAATAACCAAGACTCGGAGCTAAGCGAGTAAATTTTTTACATTAGTTAACGTAACTAAACGAGATTATTCGTATTATCTACAATGCAGACTGCATAAATATTGACACTTCACTTTTTTCGCAATAAAAATACCGCAGGCGTGCTTTAGGTATTTATTTTTTCGCTTATTTAGTGATTTGGTGGTTTATAGGCGATCTTTTGTTTCCCCATTCTTGTAAATCTATTGCAAGGGTGGCGGTAAGGTTGCAGGCAAATTTTCGGAACAATAATCGTCAACGTAAATTCCCAGCCTTGATGCCCCCAACCTATGGCCCGCACATTTATGGATTGCTCCGCGGTGTCCGAAACGATGTACAGTGTCTATGCCACACTACACAATTTATTTCTTATCTTAAGTTGATGTTCTATATTACTTAATTTGCAAACGATCACTAATTGTAAGCAAATTACAGTTATTTATTATTTTAATTAGGTGTTTATAATCATCAATTGAAGCGTAGACTAGACTAGAGAATAATTATGATACTATGAACTTTTATTAGGTGCTGAAGTTTAATGATGATCAATTAAGAATTGTCCCCTTTGTAGTAAATAGAGTGGCGTTTTCGGGACCATTCTATAATAGGTAATTTATAGATCTGGTATTGATTCCTCACTGTAAACTAGCGATGTAGGTATTGTAATAGTGTCATTTTAATGAAAGTCTAATTTCGTGTTTTTTCGACACACTTATAGTACCTACCTGTACGAAAATATCAAAATTGCGTCCGCTTGTCCGTTTATCGACAATTTTAGGTATTAGACAGACAATCTCCGAAACTACTAGAGTTTAACACTATTGTAGTGTAGATGGTAGGTGGTAGGTATACATATAATAACGCTAATCAAAATTTGTTTCTTCATCCCCACCAAGGGTCATCGACGTCATCTCAAAAATTTGCTAGGTAAAATCTCTGTTGAAACTTGTGTTGTAACATGCTCCTGTATTTGTTTCTCTGTACTTATATCGCATTAACAAAAAAGTGAGGGATGCAGTTTTCCACTTAATCTTGCAACCTATTCAATACTTTAAATAAATCGTTTTTAAAAAACATCTTGTGTTGTTTTTGGTGTAATAATATCATTATTTTACGGAATTGTTTATAAATTTTAGATGTTTAAAAAATAGTGAACGTAACAATAATATACTACATATTATACTTATACTGTTACGATTATCGGCAATTAAAAATCGGTGTGGGTAAAACTCACAATTTATTTCTCAGTAACTCAAATTTACAGGACTAAAACTATACGGCGATTATGTTCAGAATAAATCTGACTTGACTGGAATGGATTTGACTAGGCTCTACTTCTCCTATTGTCCGGACTTCACTGACTGCTCCCGACGGTGGTTCCCATTTAAACGGCACGCTGTCCTTCATCGCTTCTAGACTTGTTCTGGAGCACCCATTGCGACTTCCGCTTAAGGGATTTGCTTTAGCGAACGACCGCCGTCACCGACGATGAGTCACCCATCATCGCTGCACATACTAGAAAACCCATAGGCGTCGTACCGGGGCGGCGTATGGGTTTATTTCGTAACAATATATTGTACAGGACAGACAGGACTTGCCTAACATCATATTATGTTAGTGGTAGAAAATATCAACAAAATGTCATTTATTCCCAGAAAATTATAATAATACATCATTTCAAAAAATTGTTAAATATAAAATAAATATTTAAAAAATGGTCCAAAATTATTTAGCAGAACTTGACAAAATTACATTTTACGAAGTTAATTTAAACCCTATAAGTTAAAATTAAGACATGTGTAGACTAATAAACTAAGGTACAGAAGCATCCTGTGTTTCAGGTGAGTTTTTCCTAACCAAGTTTAGTGATGACATCATCAACTTTTTAGTAATAGTACCACCATATAATTATAATAATTTGGATGGGTAGCTACACTGTAGGTACTCATAATAACAGCACTGTTTTTTTTTTTTTTCGAGAAAATGAGGTGAACCGTTTTTGATTTTTTCAATAGAAGAAATTGATTCATTCATTTTTTTTAGTCACCCTGTTTAAGAAATTTTAACAAATATGGTGCATTGATAAACTACACGTATTATTATTTATTAGACTCATAATATTTTCTACATTTTAGACATCTAAGATTTATTCAGTAAAATTTTGAGAAGACGTCATCTAGTTTTTAAGGAGTATAAACAGACACATTTTAATTAGTTAGCCATTAAATTGTCTGCAAGGTTTCAGAGTAGTCGGTTTTGCAGTTTCTAAGTTAAATTTTAAAATGTTATTATACAAGGTGATTCAGAAATGGCGCACCAACTCAACTCTAGAATGCCACATTATTAGTTCACAAGTTTAAGTTGCAAAAAAATCATTAAAATAATCCTTACGTCAATTTGACCTTCATTTACAAAAATAAATTACCGATTTAGGTATTACATAGATTAAAAAAGATGAAAAATTAGCTACTACAGTCAGATTCATTCTGAATAATTTAAAAATTGTTTTTAACATTATAAAATGAACAAAACTATGCATAAAAACATTATATTTCCAAAATTCTTTTGAATAATGAAAATCCGATAGATTTCATGTATGTACCCAACACGAAATTTGTTTCAGGAAATATCGATTTTGTAACTAGGCTCCGCCCCATTATTGCAAAATCCATATTTCCTTGCAAAAATCATTTTAACCATGTTTTCAGTTTCTTGTTATGTTTTGTATATCTTCATTTGGATCCAAGAATTTTTGAATTTTTTTTTGCTCCAATACTTAACAACGTGTCAATTTTGAATTACCCTGTACAATTTTAATTTTTTTCAGAAAAATCTAGATGTTTATAAGGTAAAAAATCAAGGCGGATTCAAAAACTACACTACTAAGAGTATGCTATTTTATAAAATTTAATTAGCATTTAATTAGCACAATTTCGAGGTGACGTCATAGAATTGTGCTTACGAAATGTTGGTGGGATGGTTAAATCAATTTTGCTTAGTGTTTTGTCAACTATACGATATTCCGAAAATGTATATAAAATCTAGGATCCACGAAACGTCGAGAAAACATGAAAGTAACAGTTCATCGTTGGATAGATTCTATTATACTACTTCTTTAACTCAAATTGAATTACCTACATTTTTAGTGAGGTTTTACCGGTATGTTACTTAAGTATGTAGTTACTTTTTGCTTTTTGGTTTTCTTAAAAATAGTCCATCTAATCTTTGATATTATTTCAAAAGCCACCCATTTAATTTCCAGAATTGAAATGAAAAAAAAAATTCCTTACAAGAATTTATTAAGTAAATCTCTACTGGAAAATACTGAAATAACTTCTGACCAAACTGTTTTAGTTAGTGATTGATACTTATTTCGTAGTTTGCAAGAAAAATATGATGTAATATTGAGTAGTATTTATTAAAACCTATGAAAATCTGAATGTTACCATTCACCTGTGCTGGTCATAAATGCTTCAACTTTCACAACGTTGTATTTCAACTGAATGTGATACAATCGCCAACCCATTGTTCTGTTTCATTTTTGCTTGTTTCTTGTCTCTAGAACTATTTACATGCAGAATAACGAACTAAAATCATAGATTAATTTTAAAGTAATATGTTTCAGAATCTGAACACTACAGTTTCAGACAGACTGATTTGAAATGCTGCTCATAACACTACTCTTCTCAAAAACTACTAATGGCAATCTGTTATCCGCCCACAGAAATTTTCTACGAATTGTCTTGAAACGTGCAGACAATTATTATTTATTTTCATTACGATCATTATCTGAGTTTAAAGAATCATCATCAACAGTAAAAACTATACTAAAAACCACGGTTAATTATAGCGTCAAAATGTGCCTTTCAGACACGTGTTTAAGAAAAGCTGCTTGCATGATAATCTCTATACTTACCTAGGTACTGTGTTTAAGTTTTAGGTTTAAAGGAATCGGTTCATATTTTTCTTTTTTTTAACATCTTGTGTGAACATTAGAAAAAAACATTACAAAAGTATATATGTTTTATTTATTAATAATTAAGGGAGTTATTTTTATTTTTAGTGTTTTCTTTGTTAAAGTATCCACTTTTTAGTTATTGCTGATTAAAACAAAATTTAAATAGCACATTTTTTGTAAATGTAGGCGGGTAAGCTTTTAATTTATGACCTGACCAGTTTAATTTTGCACACCGTATTGCATGAAATTTTTGGGAATGGCTAAAATGTGTGTGCAGGTGTCGGATTTCTGTGATAAGAATGATAAATACTTGTATTTTGCTACAAAATTTGACATAATACACGAGCCCATTATATATAAATGTAATTTATGAAATAAAAATTCTAAAAAGTAAATTATTTTAAAAGTCTATATCTTGCGTGTATTAAAATTTAGTACGATAGAAGCATTTTTCCATACCTATATACATATATAACAATCAAGTGATTTATAGTGCTACTGCCGAATGTCACTAGTGGTTTGTTATAATATTTTTAGTACCTATAGTAAAATTTTTACTATTATAAACCGCTGGAAATAAATGCAATAAAATTTAAGTATAAAAATCACTTTGTGTGAAATATGTAAGAAAACTCCTTCAAATAGTTGCCTAAAATAGCCATATCTAAGTTCTTTGACCAACGGTATTTCTTTACCCATGCTAGTGTTATTTCACGATTTTATGGTGATAAATGTTTTTTCCAACTTAGTTTTTACAGAAGTTTTTCTATACAGTGTACACGCACATTAGAATAAAATTACAATCTTATGACTATTCATTTCCTTACTTTCATAATTTAAATAATATATTACATAATATTTTATAGAGAATAATAACAAAATAAAATAAATGTACGTATAGCTAATT